GGTTTCCGAGCGATCTCATTACAGTACGAAATACTGCAAAAACGCATGATTGCACGGGCCCGCCCTATGAGCGTCGCCAGTGATTTCATGAAGTGTTGCACATATGTTTCACGCTTCTCAGCATGTGCCCCTTAGCTAATTTGATGTAAGAATCCTTTTTCATGAGCTTTTGCAAATTTGTGCAAATACAAAAACACATGTTGGTAGGGAGCTGTCTGTGTGTGCGCGTGTGTGTGCACGTTTGTATGTATGTGTACACATGTATATTTGCATTTTTTCATCCACTGTCAGCTCAGCAACTAGAGATACTGAAACTTCGGAAGCAAGCTACACCTCATGTTCGACTTTCCCGTTCAAATGTTATCTTTCACATGCGCTTGGGCCTTGCATACGGTTGCCTAAAAGAAAACGTGTAAATTTTTTGTCAGAAAAGCGATTTCGGGAACCAGGCAAGATAGAAAGCTGAGATGGGACAGGGGTATTTTTATTTCTTTGTACGTGCTAAAAATTTCAAAGCCAGCATTGATGCACCCCTATATTACTTTTACAGACACATCAAAGTTGAGACTGAAAAATCTTTTGCAAAATGTCAGTCTCAGGAACCAACTTGGTCAGAGCGCTCTAAATTTACGAGAATATTTGTTTTCTATACATGGGCGTGTAGGCATGAAATGAGCTTTGGCTTTCGCCCGCACCGCGTGTACAGACGCATCAAAAATACTTGTAATGAAACGCAGGGGGTGGGGGTGCTGAAACTGCAAGAATATTCTATATGTGTGAACTAAACATTTCAAGTTCAGCTTTAAAGCAAGGTTAAGTTTCGCATGCGTTGAGATGGAAGTTTAGTTAGGGACGCTGCTGACACTCCTTGAACTGGGTAACCAAACTGAGCAGGCAGCAGTATTTTTCTGAGGACGCTTGCTGTTTTTGTGTGGGCCAACAAGCGTAAGATGAGCTGCTGCCTAGGCATGAGCCCTGCATGCAGGCACATCAAATTTTCTAATTGCAGCACCGCAGTCACACCTCAGTGGTACAGGCGATCCTTTTACAAAATCGAATCACGCAGAACGCGTGATCGCACCGTCAAGCCTGCTGTATCTCTACCTGCGTGTTAAATTTCTCAAACGTATTGCTCGGCGTTTGGTTAATTAAGCTTTTCAGCATATCAAGCAAGGATTGATACATCCCGTTTCGCCGCATGTTTAGCAGGCCACTTCGCCGCCCCTTCAGATAATTTTGCACCTTGTAACTGATAGCAGAGTGTGTGTTTGTAGTGGTTTGGCATTCTTCCTATCCAAATTTAATCTGCTTCCGGGGCGTGCTGCTCAAAATAACACATAAAGTGTTGCAGCGAGCTCTCAAACGAAATGAGTTTGCACCAGGCCTTACACCAGGCTTGACAGAGCCAATTAAAGCAACGCATCAAAGCTTGGCAAACTTTTTCCAGGCGACTAAAACGTTTGAATTTCAGAGTGAAAAAATTTGTTAAACGTGAGTTATATGATATTTTTAATCCTCTAAATCCCAAACAGATCCCAGTGAATTTCTTTAGTATCACACTGGTAAAAAGCTAACCACACTTATGCTGCACGGAATAAATTTGTTCTCAGTTAATGTTGAATCTCAAAATTTTTCGATGCGTAAAGTTAGTATCACAATCCTCACCAGAGTTGCTGTAGTTGACCGCAGCTATTAGACGAAATAAAAGGACTTAAAATAACTGATTATTTGTTCTCATTTATATAAAGATGTTCGCATACAGCTACAATCGTCTTATGCGAACTGTTTTCAGATCTCGCAGCTGTTGGGGATAAATGAAAGCCTGTATGTGCGACTGCCAGCTGGCTTGGTACTCTGGACCACAGCGCTCACAGTCTATATGCACATTTCAGGAATCGCAGTAAGAGCCACAGTTTATTCACAGTGGTTATGCGGTTGCTGTTTATAGATTTTTTAACGTATAACTACGTCTGCGTTTGCACCAAATATTTTTTTATGCTTTACAGAGAAAAAAAAGAACTTTGGTTTGTCAGGGTGAGCACACTCTGTTCGTGGTCTTTAGTCAGTCAGTGCACGCGCCTAAATTTATGCAGATATCGTTTCTCTTTATAGCAAAAATGTAACATTTTTAGGCAATTTGCACAGAAGTGTTGCTATCAATATTACAAGCAGCGTAGCCACGATGCATGTAGTGGGCAACACTGTTGGATATCATACCATTTTTATGCGTTTCTGCTTAATATGCAGAAAACCATGGTGTGTGTGCGTGTGTATGTGTGTGTGTTTGTGTATGTGTGTGCACGTGTGTGTGCGTGTGCGTCTGCCTAGATACTTCAACACGGCAATCAAGCAAGCTCTGGTCCCAAAATTTTGGCAGCGAATTCCCCAGCCAAGTGCCACCTCATGACCGCGGTACCAACCATCAAACGCGTCTGGACCCCTCGTACGACTGCGCAAAAGTTTTGGCGGGAGAACCGCAAATTCTGGAGACGGAAAAACTGGGTGGCTGAAATTTTCAGGGGGTCTTCTCCGTCTATGTAAAACTCAAAGATTTCAAATTCGGCCCATAGTTCTTATGTATGACTCCCTGAAAATTCTTGGCGAGAAACTTGTTAACTCGAAAACCAGAAAAGCTGGCTAGCTGAAATTTTGAAAAGATCTTTCCCGTCCGCGTAGAACTCAAATATTTCAAATTTAGCCCCCAAGTGTGCATCACGTATGGCCTCGTGAAAGTTTTTGACTGAAAAATCGCTAAATCGGGAAAAAGAAAAGCTGGTAAGGCTGAAAATTTAAGGACATGTTTCTAGTCTCCGTACAATTTAAAGATATCAAGTTCAGCTCCCAGGGCTCCATCGTTTTTACGTACAACTCCATGAAAATTTATGCAGGAAGAATCGCTAGTCGGGAGCCAGAAAGCTGGGGAAGGGAGAAGGGACTGAAATTTTAACAGAATCTTCCTTGCTCAAGTACCTCGCGAAACTAACTTCTTGGACTTCGAGGGCCAGCATGTCACAGTTTCTAGCTATTGGGTTTCTGAGTGACCTTACTGTAGCACGAAGTACTGCAAACATGCATGATCGCACAAGCCCGTCTGGTGCACGTTGCCAACTTTCTCGCTAATTTATACAGGTTAAAACTGTATTAAATGATGAGACTACGTATGTGTGTTTGCCCCTCTGCCTGTCTGCTTTTGTCCGAGTGTATGCGTGCGTGTTTTAAAGTGTATGTGTGTGCGTTTCTGAAAATTAGAGGTCACATGGACCAGAATGGAGAAGAGCTGAAATCTTTATTTCGTGTCTCTCGTACAGTACCACATAAAGCAGACTGCTACAAGGAAATTTCGAGTTCTGCTTTGCACCTCTTTTTGGAGATGTAGGATATGGACATGGCAACAGTGTTCGTGAAGCGTCTGTGTCATATCCTTGTTTCAGCTACAATTCCAGTTTTGTGCTACTTTTCGAATATATTTTTGTAGCAGACTTCATGACTGCTTAAGTTTCAGTAATTCTTGAAAGATACAGACAAACGTGCCAAAATGCAAATAAAAATTTTGCAGTGTCTGATAGCGCCATCGCTAGCAAGTGATATCGAATTCGCGTATAGATCACCTCCAACCGATTTATTTCCGATTCGTATGTACGGTGTGGCTTTGGTTGCGTACGGTTTATTGTTCCATAGTTCGCTAATGCTGAAAGATCCCCGCACGCAACTCTCCTCAATTTTACTATCAGTTGTCGTGTTATTCGGTTTGCAACTTATTGGTAACACTTTAATAAAAGTTTACTTTTTTTGCGGAATTACTCAAAGTTCGAAGGTATAATTTTCACTTCCCAAACAACTTATGCGCCTTGCTTATCTGTTTGTTACTAATGATTTCATGTTATTTTATTTAAAAACTGATAACAAGTCATTCTTTCTAGAGCTTTGTAGACTTTCCAGACTTTCAGGGAAATTTATAGTGCTTGCATTTTGCATGATCTTGGTATCCAATTATTATTCGTTACTAGAACTGTAATAAAAAGTATAGAATTGTTTTAGTTGGATTATACAGTGGTCATCTAAATCGATTGTTGCTCTTTTTTCGAACAGTAATGCTTATTGGCAGTTTTATCTATCAGTCTCTGGTGGATGCTCAGGTATTTTTGGATAATAATATCTTAAAAAAATCCTGGAATCTCGGCTGCTCTATACAAGGCTGGAAGTTTTGCAACTGATGACTGTATGTTGGTTGTTAAGGAATCGTTTTTAAACGGAGATATCTGTCAATGGCGCCTACAGAAGAGCTTTTTTACAACCTCGCAATCAGAAAACAGAAAAATAATCAGCCGACCGAAACGACTTACTTTTGGAAAAAAATGTCACGAGCTTTTTTGAAGAGTCGTAGAAATGACTTTCCAAAAAGCGAATGAGCATTCAAACAGGCTTGCCTCTTTTTGGAAGCTGTCAGTATTGTAAAGGAGGAAATAAATTCAACTGATTGGTATCAAATTAAACGGGAATTGTCAGCAGACATTATATTAAGCGGTCAAATGACAGATAATTTGAGGACTTAATCTGGACAGACTGAGCATGGATGAGAGAAAGAAGTGGAAGGGTGATTAAATTGTATTTAAATTGTTAAATAACATGGTTAAATTGTAAGCTAATAGCTTACTTCCCAAACTCGGATACCGCCACATCTGTACCAAAAAAACTCGCTGGTGTAGCTGCCGGTTGGTTTTCATATTTTTTGCTTCAGATAACAATATATTCTATCGTCGTTAGTTGAGATATGTAAGCTAAAAATTTAACAAAGCTTGGATCGCATCATCGATAATGTGGAGGTCACAGACTTGAAACTAATTTCTTAACTTTGCTGTGCTCTGATCTGGTTAATAAAGTAACACGAGAAAGAACGAAGAAAAAGAGTTCAAAATTTTGAGGATTCAACTATTTACACAATGTGAGATTTTAAACTGCGCTGTGTCCCAATATATGAGGTCGGTTAAAACAAAAACATTCTAGTGGCGTGTGACAAAGCGGAAATTTTTTGAGGCCAGTTCCGCAAACAGATGAAGGTTGTCGATCTGGTTTCAACATACTTCCCACTATACGTATTGATTTGTTAGTTTAAAATTTACGTTTGTGCTGCTGCTCCAAAACAGCAGATTTCCAGGTGTCGATAATTTACAAACTCTGTCAGAGTAGCATATTTTCCGCGTGTACTTACAAATGCATCCGTTCTGATTGCCCAACATCAAGTGCAAATGAAGCGCGTTCGCCACGACCCTATCATTTGTTGACATGTGAGCCGTATTAAATAAATCAAATTAAGGGTGGTCTGTTCCGGAGTATACTGCGAATGTTAATGGACGCTAAAAACATGGGACGGGTTATGCCACGATCCGAATCCAGCGACGAAAAAGACAAAGCATCATAACTACTGGTATATCGGTCATTTTCATATGCATGCGAATCTCATTATGGATGTATTTGCGAAGTACGAGGATGTTTCAGTGCAGTTTGGTTTAATCCCCACAAAACTGTAGCGCTTTTGACTTAGCTGTGTTCTTTCGTTTGTCCTGGAAAACAAAATCTTTTGAAATGAGGTTCATGATCACAGGACTGTCCGAGTATCAATTTTCGGCAACAACTACAACTCGGCTCGGCTGGTGGTCGATGGTGCTTGGGAAGCCCTCTGTCATCTCTGGCAGCGGTGTTTCGTGACGTCGCTCACCGGGATCGCTTGGCAGTCTGCCAGAGAAGCAGGGTAACGTTACCCAGGTCGCAGCGGCTGTATGAGGGATGGTAGAGGGGCAACCTTGGTTGTGGGGGTGCGTGGAAGGGTGAGCGGCGGTTGGTGGGTGTAGAAATGTCTTCTCCTCCCCCTCTCTCTTCCTAAGCATCGAATTTTCCCATTTCCCCTCCCTCCTGGTAATGAGGACTGACAGTAGTGGGTGACCAAACTCGCTCCCGCCACTCAGTCCCCCTAAGCCGCACTCTCTCCCCCCTGGTAGTGAGAACTGAGAGTAGTGGGCGACCAAACCCGGCCCCCGCCACTCAGCCCCCTCAAGCCGCACAACCCTCCCCTTGGTAGTGAGGACTGAGGGCAGTGGGCGAACAACTCGCCCCGCCACTCGGTCGGAGTGGACCGGAGAGACTGAGTTTTGTGCCCAAAAACTGGGCTTATATACGGGAAGAATGTGGACGTAGCTAAGGTAGGAGGTGTATAAATGATCTCAAGGGGCTGTAAAATGCGCCTACCCTATACGTTACACATCACATATGCGTAACGTGAAAAGCCATAAAAATCCTTCCCTTCTACTTTTTATGCGTTTTTGCTGTGCAGCGCTGTAGCAGCGCTATAGCGCTGCTACAGCCAGCAAAAA